TCTCATCTGACACCCTCATTTCCATCTGGAAAATGAACCTTAGGTTCAGAACCACACTCAGTACAATAGCACTTCCCTACCAATTCACAGATTAAATCCTATTTTACACCTCAAAAAAGAGAAAAGCAGAAATCCTCCCTCTTACTCTTCCCTCTCCCCTGCTTAGAATGGCAGGAAGGGGTTTTATGTCCATGTTTGGACTCTGGCTGGTTTTGTCTGGAAATCTATTGAGACATTATTCAAGAGAGACTTAGTCATGGCGAGATTGATAATTACAGCTGTGATGATAACTAGGTCTCTCTACATGAAAAACAGCACATGCTTGTGTTATTTCATCAAAAGTGGTTTCTGTCTGTTTATGGGACAACAAAAGAGTATGCAAAAATAACTACAAGGAGGAAGAAAAGAACAGAACAGTGGTCCAGTCTGCTATCAGTGCTGTAAAGCTTCATCTGTTCATTAATTTACTGACAATCATAATAAGATTGAAAAATTGTGAAAGGGATTGAGTTATGACAGATGATTTGTGTTGGTAGCAAGGAAAATTAAGTATAAAAAAGGAGAATCCCCTGGATGCCAAGATCCAGGTTTGGGGCAAGTACTCTTTGGTGAGAGAACCCCAACAGATATTTTCAATCACAAAATATTCAGCAAAGTAAAGCGTGGAAATACAGGTTGTTAGATCTTAAAAATATACCCCCATGAGTTCCAAAACTTCCCTCTCACCTTACTGTTGAACAGGACCACACATCTGGTAAGTGAAAAACTGGCTTACTTACAAACGCTTCAAAGGTCAGGTTCATGTGTTTCTCCATACATCAGTCAGAAAACACAGGCAGTAACACTTGGCTTAGTTACACTGGTGAAAGCTCCAAATTATTGGTATAGGAGTCCAAGAGAGGCTTCTTAGAGCCATGAGGTCTGAGCTTGTAGCAACCAGCTAAGACCTTAAATGTTGTGCTTCTTGGGTAGACTGATAGAGAGCAATAGGCCATGTATGTCTGGATAAAGCCTGCTGGCTGGGCCTATGATTCTAAAGATTGGTAATTAGGGTGAGGTAAGCTAGCTTTTGCTATTTTGGGGCTCTGCTCAAATTCCAAGAGTGTCTTGGTATCTTCCTTAAATGTAATTCTAAGTTAAAATGGTTCTGTTTGGTGCTGCAATCTCTCAATAACGTATTTGCTTCTATTTGCTTCTTTCACTTCTTATTGTAGGATTTCATCTGAATGTGGTATGTAGGGCTGCTGTCGGGGTTGGTTTTCTGAAAGGGCCCAGCTAATCTTCCCAGACAACATAACCCTCAACATTGTTGTTGTTGCTTAGTCATTTAGTCGTGTCCGATTCTTCGTGACGCCATGGACCACAGCACGCCAGGCACTTCTGTCTTCCACTGCCTCCCACAGTTTGGTCAAACTCATGCTAGTAGCTTCGAGAACACTATCCAACCATCTCGTCCTCTGTCGTCCCCTTCTCCTTGTGCCCTCCATCTTTCCCAACATCAGGGTTTTTTCCAGGGAATCTTCTCTTCTCATGAGGTGGCCAAAGTATTGGAGCCTCAGCTTCAGGATCTATCCTTCCAGTGAGCACTCAGGGCTGATTTCCTTAAGAATGGATAGGTTTGATATTCTTGCAGTCCATGGGACTCTCAAGAGTCTCCTCCAGCACCATAATTCAAAAGCATCAATTCTTCGGCGATCAGCTTTCTTTATGGTCCAGCTCTCACTTCCATACATCACGACTGGGAAAACTATAGCTTTTAATATATGGACCTTTGTTGGCAAGGTGATGTCTCTACTTTTTAAGATGCTGTCTAGGTTTGTCATTGCTTTTCTCCCAAGAAGCAGGCGTCTTTTAATTTCGTAGCTGCTGTCACCCTGAAAGGTATAACCCATCTCTTTTACTTGTTTGCCCATGGAGGACCATAGGCTAGGCCCCCATGGTCAAACTAGAACTAGAAAATCCCACTCCTTCCTGATATGCTAGTATCTCTCTCGTCTCCTTTACATGTCCTGCAGCATTGGGAAATTAACCCTGGGAAGGTGTTCAGAAACCACACATTCTTTGCAAGTGCTGTGTGAGTGTCTGGAGGTGGTTGTAGGATGGATTGCAGCTAACAGATTGAGGTTGAATCCTGACAAGACAGAAGTACTGTCTCTGGGGGACAGGAGGCGGGTGGGTGTGGAACACTCCCTGGTCCAGAATGAGGTAACTTTGCCCTGAAGGACCAGGTGCGCAGCTTGGGAGTCATTTTGGACTCACAGCTGTCCATGGAAGCACAGGTCAATTCTGTGTCCTGGGCAGCTGTCTACCAGCTCCATCTGGTACACAGGCTGAGACCCAATCTGCCCGTGGACTGTCTTGCCAGAGTGGTGCATGCTCTGGTTATCTCCTGCTTGGACTAGTGCAATGTGCTCTGTGTGGGGCTACCTTTGAAAGTGACCCGGAAACTACAACTAATCCAGAATGCGGTGGCTAGACTGGTGACTGGGAGTGGCCACCGAGACCGCATAACACCCATCCTGAAATACCTACATTGGCTCCCAGTATGTTTCCGGGCATAATTCAAAGTGTTGGTGCTGACCTTTAAAGCCTTAAATGGCGTAGGCCCAATATACCTGAAGGAGCATCTCCACCCCTATCATTCAGCCCAGACACTGAGGTCCAGCACTAAGGGCCTTCTGGCGGTTCCTTCACTGCGAGAAGTCAAGTTACAGGGAACCAGGCAGAGGGCCTTCTTGGTAGTGGCGCCCGCCCTGTAGAATCTCCTCCCATCAGATGTGAAATAAACAACTATCAGATTTTAGAAGACATCTGAAGGCAGCCCTGTTTAGAGACGCTTTTAATATTTGATGAATCATTATATTTTAATATTGTGCTGGAAGCTGCCCAGAATGGCTGGGGAAAAACAGCAAGATGAGTGGGATATAAATAATAAATTATTATTATATTATTATTATAAGCAGAAGCAGCTATTTGTGCTCCTAAGAAAAAAAACACCTCAGATATGGAAACATATAGAAATGCCCAAACAAATGTGAGTATGTGAAACAAAGGACTATTTGGATGGGTGGTATATAGATGTAATAAAGAAAAAACGATTAGCAAATACAAAAAGAATGGTTAATTAACGTATTTGAGATATCAAGATGTAAGAGAGAATTAACTTTACAGTTGCCCAGATGTATTCAGTATTCATAGTGGGTCATGGAATGAAACGGACTTTTTATTTACCAATCTTCTTGTACCACCATTTTTCAAAGAATGTCTGATAATATTGTATTTTCTAATTAAAAGGACTTTTATTGTAATCATGTTCAAAATGCTTTTTCTCCAAAATATTCATTCAGTACCAACCAGTCCCATCTTCTCAACCAAAGCCCATTATCAATATCACCATTGTTATAAGTAAGAACAATGAGGCCGGAGGATCATCACCCAGCTATTGTTTTATTGTTTCATTTGTTTTGATATGCTGTACACAATTTTGATATTTTTATTAAAAATATAAAGCGGTATAGAAATGGAAAAGCAAATAAATAAATAAATAAATAAAATAAAATAAAAACAAGAAATTGTGTAGCAAATATTGCCTGTAACTACTGAAATCAATGGTACTGATTAATCATGACAGTAGCAGTTCCACTGAAACCCTACTTACTGGAGAATCACATAGAAAAGAATAAGGAGAAGCTTTTTAAGCCTCCCAATATATTGTTTTCTCTTTTTCAGTGTATAATTAACCACCATCTGGTGTTCTAGTCAGGCCTTCATACTTTGCAGTACCCATGAGAGTTTCTTAGTTTTCCAAACGTTGAAAAAGGCTGTGGACCCCTGTTTCAGAAAGACCACAGAGGATTTTAAAAGGAATTGCACATAGGAATTGTAACAGATAAAATACAGCATGGTTATACGATGTAGAAAAAGAGAGATGAATTTGCCCATATTCTGATAGAACAAAAAACAGAGATGTTAGGTTAATTTGTTATTTCTTCTTTATTAACTTCTCCTTGCAGTTCAGATCAGGCCTCAACACAATGATGTAGCATTTGGGAGCAAAGATGGAGCCCAGTAAGCCAGCACTGGAGGCCAAGATGGAGAAGATCTCCACAGCCACCATGTATTTCCCCTTGGTGCTCAGGTACACTGGAACAAAGGAGATCCAAACACTACAAAACAACAACATGCTGAAGGTGATGAATTTGGCCTCATTAAAGCTGTCAGGCAGTTTCCTGGCAAAAAAGGCCACAACAAAGCTGAGAATGGCCAAAAAGCCCATGTAGCCCAGGACACAGTAAAACAGGGCGGCTGACCCTTCGTTACAACCCAGAATGATTTCCCTCATCGCAGAGTGCATGTCAGAATCAGGGAACGGGGGAGAGGTTCCTAACCACACAGCACAAATGCCCACTTGGATAAGGGAACAAGTAAACACAATGGAGCTTGCCAGTCTTTTCCCCACCCACTTCCTCATTCGGGATCCTGGTTTGGTGGCCACAAAGGCCAGAACCACCGTGATCGTTTTGGCCAGAACACAAGAAACGGTCACTGTGAAAACAAGGCCAAAAGCCATTTGTCGGAGCAGGCAGCTCACTCTTTCCGGAGGGCTGAGGAAGATCAATGGGCAGAGGAAGCAGAGCAGGAGGAAAGTGAGGAGAGTGTAGGTGAGGTCCCGATTGTTTGCTCTGACAATGGGTGTGTCCTGATGTTTAATGAAGATGACTAGGACCACCAGTGTGAGGAGAGAGAGAAAAAGAGCAAACAATGCTAAGCTCATCCCCAGAGGCTCTTTAAAAGACAGGAAGCTGATGGTCTTTGGAATGCATTGCAATTGGTTCCTGTGTGGATAGTGATCTTCGGGGCACCCAACACAGTCAACCATGTCTGAAGAGAAAATAATATATTCAGATTTCAGATGTTCTGGATAGCAATTACAAATAGAAATATCACAGATGTGTCCTTTATACATTCCAAAAGTACCATGTATATATTGTGTCCCCTACCTTTCTGTGATGCAATCTTGCCTTGAGGACATGGAGCACAATCATAGCAGCAGAATGGCTCCCCCTCCTTCTTTTCCTTCCTGGAACCAGGAGGGCAATTTGAGTTACATAGTGAAATGGGAGGAACCTGCCCATTTAAATAAATATATAAACATTTTAGCACACAGAAATTAGTAGTATTCCCCCCACCCCAACTAAAAATAGGAATACACTAAATTACTTATTCCAAACTCGGAGCCAAACTAGTCATTTTTCTATTCATGCTTTTAAAAAAGTGTACTCAACCTAACCATCTGGGGAACAAATATCTCAAATGGAGCGTGATCTATTGGAATGTAATGTTTTTTTTTTTTTTTTTTATAATATATATTTATTGAGATTTTTCATACAAAGCATACTTAGGAGACATACAAGTCATCATTGTCGGTATAACATCTTTCCATTGTTACATTAGACTCCCCCACACCTCCCGCGTCCACTTACATCGTTGTAGAGTTAATTCCAAACAAATTATCGTTTTACTCATAATCTTAAATTTGATTAGCATATAATTCGAACTTGAATCTAATTTAGTGATAGACAATTGTTTTCTACTCTGACATCCCAATCAGCACTCAATCAAATTATAATACTTTTGTAGGTAAATCTTAAATTTTCTCCAGTCTTCTTCCATTCTTTCTTCTCCCAGGTCTCGAATTCTGCCGGTCATCTCAGCTAGCTGCATATAGTCCATCAGCTGCATCTGCCATTCTTCCAAAGTGGGTAGCTTCTGAGTTTTCCAGTTCTTAGCGATCAGTATTCTTGCTGCTGTTGTTGCATACATAAAAAATGTTCTATCCTTCTTTAACACACTCTGGCCGACGATACCCAAGAGAAAGGCCTCTGGTTTCTTAATAAAGGTGTATTTAAACACCTTTTTTAACTCGTTATATATCATCTCCCAGAAGGCCTTCACTCTAGTGCAGGTCCACCAGAGGTGAAAAAAATGGAATGTAATGTTAAAGATATTCTCTTTTCCCATGTCTCATGGATGTAGGAATTATGCCTCACCTGGTGAAAGCTCTGGTGCCACACCATTCTGTTGTCATCAATGGAAATCAGCTGGCCTGGGACAGCCTCCCCACCCAGTCTTCCGACCTTGACTCTCATGAAAGAGTTATTTGGAAAAGTGACTATGTTGGCAATATCAAAGCCAGCTTCTACTTCCCTGCTCCCACTGAAAGATACTGTTTCCCCAGCAGAGTTGTTAAAGGAGACACTCGTAAGGAAGGGATGGAGCTGCATTGGAAGAAAAATAGGATCTATGAAGTAATGCATATGTCTCTCCATACTGAAACTCAGGATGCCTCCAAAGTTCAGTACTGGCAGTAATGGCTCATAAGGTGATCATTCCCATAGATAGCCAATGATTTCCTTTCTCTCCTATAGGAAGAATCCTAATGCATTCCTGACCAAGAAGAAATGAGGAAAAATCCATGGCTTTCAGTTCCCACTGCTTGGATATCTCTCACTCCACAGAAGAGAATCATAGGGTAACCAGCCTCAAATAATCATCACGCAGACATCTAATAAACGCATGAAGGGGGCTAATGCCATGGAGTAAGCTGTCCATGAGTTTGACCAAACTGCGGGAGGCAGCGGAGAACAGAAGTGCCTGGCGTGCTCTGGTCCGCGGGGTCACGAAGAATCGGACACGACTGAACGACTAAACAAGAACAAAGCTGTCCTATCAGGCTTCGTCTATGTCACTTCCCTTCACTTTGGGAGCAAATGGGCAACAGAGCCTTTTGGCTTTGGGGAAACTCAGCCTACATGTGAATTCTCTGAACTGATCTCACCTTCTCCTCTCATTGTAGACTTGGATCCTCCCCTTAACTTGTGTGCAGAGAAACTGCTTGTAAAGGAGCAGGACAGAGCAAAATCAGATCCTCCTTCACTTACAGTTTCTCTGCAAACATAGGTACCTATTAACAAAGAAGCAGCACAGTGCAGGATTCGCAACTACTGCTTAACAACTGGAGCAGCAGCTTATCTGCATACGTTACGCGGAAGATCATAGCCTACAGTTAGTACTTGAAAATTTTCAGTGTAGTCTTCTACATTTAGATACGATATGATAATCTTTATTGTCATTGTCCCATACAGAACAACGAAACTGAAAATCTACACCAGACATTCAGAAACCAACAAGCCTGCTATTCCTGCTATCCCAGCCTGGTTAGCTCCCTAAAAACTCTGATACTCCGTAATTAAATACAATATACTCCCGTAGAGACTACCTTACACTGTGTTTAAAACCAAAATAGTATTGGAATGAAAACTGTTTCTCAGGCAGCTAGTCCTAGTCTTTGTAACCCTGTATCTTCTTCCAGAAGGCAAAAGCTGAAAGAGATCACTTCACTGCCCATGTCAAATAACTTGTATGTTATAATAGGCATTACCTGCCAAGGCTGCAGTTTCTGAAGCTCCTGCAACCCTCCTTCCACCGCTGCCCTGTATTTGGTCCTGGGCAAGAACATGGCATGTAGAGCATGTGCTGTGGCATAGACAGCATTATAGATGCTGTAGCTGTGGCTTGTTATGCTCATCTCAAAGCCAGATGAAGGGAGATCTTCCAGCTTCTCCTCTCCAGTGCAGGTTCCACTGGCCTGCTCCTCTGTATTGGAGTTTGGAAATAAACAGAGAAATACCTGTGTCCAGAACTGCTTGACAAAGCCATTTCCATTTTCCTCAAAAGGATTTTGGACTTCAAGAAAGGCTTTGAATCCTTGTACCACATTTGAATAAACTGCAAAGGAGAGGGAACCGTGGAAGGCTTGCATATCCATGCTCATTTGATAGGTCAATGCTGTGAAATCCACCTGTGCTGTCAGAATCCACACCTTGCCCACAGATGTTTTGTTAATATTTTCCATTTCACCTAGCACTAGCATTATTCGCAAGCGAATCATGGGCTTTGTTCCTCCATAGAAAACAACAACCTTGGCTTCACTTTCCATAATAACATGATAGATTTGAATTAAGTCAGACTGCAAATAATAAAACTCTGCCAAATATGTGGTTTTCAGGGTTGTCTCTGAGAAGGCCAAGCAAATGCCTTTCTGGGAGAGCAGAGGTCTCAGCGTCTGAATAAATTTCTCTCCACTGTCATTATCCACTGCGAGCAGCCCAACCCACGTCCAACCAAAGTGCAGCAGTAACTCAATGATCCCAGTGTACTGATGGGCTTCATTGGGCACCATCCTGTAGAAGGAAGTAGATTGGCTTTGACCAGCATCTTCTGGAGCAAAGGAACCATAAGTGAGCTAAAAGGAATAAAGAGGCAGAAATCATAAATGCAGAAGAAGGACTGTATGTGTATTCAGGGCTTACCCACCATAGAGACCAGATGAGCCAGTTGCCCCAGGAAGGAGACTCCAGAAAGTTGGGAGGGTGGCCGATTTGGCCTCCATGGCGTGCTGCCCTGCTTTGCTCTCCTTTCTCCTCATCTTCTGTCTCCAGTTCATCCTCCTTGCTTTCCTGCACTGCTGCTGTCTGCGTCTCTAGTTAATGCATGAGGGTGTAAAGGCCATAGAGTAGTAAGCTGCTGTTGCCAATCTTGTGTAGGTCATGCCTCCTTCACCTCCGGTGAAAGAGGGGACCTTTCTGCCAACACATGAGCCAAAGTGCAACGTTTGTTGGCCAATCCAGACCATTCTCTGCATGCCTCAGTAGAAGCTCTGTACAGGACCATTTCCAAACATAAAGAGAAAGTCACCTATTGAAAATCCTATTACTGACTTTTTAAAGCTCTAATTTGTCTGAACCTCATATATCTGGAGGGCCACCTTCTCCCATACCACCCACACTTCTTGGTTTATTGGGTGCGGCCAGGTCACACCTAATACATTCTGCTGCCTGAGATAGAAACCAACTGGTCCTGCCATTGAATCCTCCTTCAATATACCAATAGCACCACATCATCCACTGCACTTGGGATACCAGACTAGTTAGAGGAGTCAGGGGAGGAAGTGCTCAGTCCTAGAGCAGAGAGAAAAGGCAAGTGTGTTTAAGAAGGTGAGAGAAGGCAGCTGATCTAGGGCAGACATGTTAAAAGGCTGCTGATGGCTCACTACTATCTGTTTTGTGCTACACAGGTTATTTAATTTGCAAAGCAAACAGGAAACACATTTTGTGAAGAGCAGGACCACCCTCCTTTTTTAGTCACAATTCTACAAAACGTTTTTGGATAGAAAAGATCATAGTGATTGAGTGTGAAGAGTCCAAGGCAGTATCTTACCTGGGGAATCTTGTAGATGCTCAATATGTCTGCCATGTAGAGGGAGGTATCAAAGTCTAGTCCCCCAATAACTGCCACCAGGTGTTTCTGGGTGTCGCACTTGTAGTTGGGTATAAGTGTGGAGGGAAGGTTCAGAGCAGCCCGATAGGTCATCCTTTCATTGAAGTAACTTTCATAGATGTGGAATCCTAAGGTGATATTTGGTAAAATCTTGGGGTTCTCATTGATCTCCTTGACAGCAAATATCAAGGCCAGAATATGCTGATAGTTCTTTGGCACAACACTGCAATGAGAATTTCATGCTTTATTTTTGAAATATATGCTATGCAAGTTAAAAGGGGGATGGCTTGACAATTCTTCAGGATTTTAGTGCAAATTGTGCCCTATTATATATGCAAAGGTGTTTCCCCTGAAGGACTACATTGTATCCCACTTTTATACTTGTAGCTTACTTTTATCAAAACAGTGGTACCTCAGGTTACAGACGCTTCAGGTTACAGACGCTTCAGTTTACAGACTCCGCTAACCCAGAAATACCGGTAGTACCACGGGTTAAGTACTTGGCTTCAGGATGAGATCAGAAATCGTGCTCCAGCGGTGCGGTGGCAGCGGATAGCCCCATTAGCTAAAGTGATAGCTCAGGTTACAAACAGTTTCAGGTAGAACGGATCTCGAGAATGAATTACGCTCTTAACCCGAGGTACCACTGTATATGCATTTTTATGGAAACTTTACATCCGTATAGGCATTTTTGCATACATGGCCTGGCTAGAAGATTGCACTGCACAATCTGGAGAAATATAAATTTCAAATGAAGGCTCTGTTTTGGTTTAGATAACTTTTTAGAGCAAGCAAATTTCGGTAGGTTCATATTTAAATGTGAACTGATTTGTAAGAACTGGGCAGCTTCCTACCTTAAAGTAGACACCAGCTCACTTGTTCTGATCTTCAACACAAAATATAGCTTAATGTTTAAGCCTCAGCTGTCCACTTTCACCTCAGCTTTCTTTGTTTTCCCCCTCACACCTCCCTCCTTACAGTTAACTGACAGTTAAGTGCCATTTCCCAACTGCCCCAACTGACAGTTAACTGCCATTTCTTTGCTGATCAGAACCTTCAGCCAGTTAGTCTGTTGTTGCCCGGGCCAATTGGAATGAATGGACCTGATCCAGCCCCGTCTATAAATGAATTTCCCTCTCTTCCCATGTCACCAGTCCTCTGTCATCGAACAAGCCTGCACCATAGTGACAGCACAAGGCTACAGACATTGACAGTCACACAGAGACATCAACAGAAGCCTTAAAATGTTTTGAAACCATGAAGCTGATTAATAATAATAATAATAATAATAATAATAATAATAATAATAATATACCCCCTTCATCCAAAGATCTAACATGATAAAAATAAAGTGTACAGGCTGCCTTTTGGGCTTAGACATATACAAATCAGTTATTTACAGGTACTGATCTGATCCCACAAAAAAGCTGTATTGAAATGCAGAGAAGCAGGTAGCCAGGCTTAATGGAGTTATTCTCATCATATTCAAACCTGTGACACATTTTAAACTGGGAGGGTCATATAAGACTAGCCTGACTTGGATGAGAACATCTGAATGAGAATTTCACCTCAAAGGAGAGGTGAGCTTTTTAGACCCTTCACCCCAAACTTTCAGAGATGAAGTTCAATATTCAGAACAGAGAAGGGCTTTCCATCTTAAAGGAGGTAAGTTTAAGTTGTGGCTCCTGTTGTGAAACTCTTCTTGGAAGAAATTTGGTGGGATGTGGGGAGGAGAGAACTCATGAATGAAAGAAAGACGCTCTCATCTCACCCGACACATTCAGATCTCCATTTCCCTCCCTCCAAGGCAACTCTTCAGCTCTGAGATGGTTCCCCCCCCCCCGACACCTCTGCCTGGAAGGAAATCCCTCTAAAATCATTGGAACAGGCTTCTCTGTAAGCCTGGTTAGAGCTGGGGAATGTTTCTGTATCACCTGATTACTACTGAATACATAATCATTTACAAGGTATTAAGAAGTTGATGTGTGGTTAGCATTTCTTTGAAGTCTACTTTGTCAAAAGAGGTAAAGAGGTGAGAAGCAAGTCCGCCAAGAATAAGATCACCAGGTTGGTAGTATTCATGTGGAATTCTGGACAGATCATGGATGGTGCAACGTGTATGTTTGCACACGATATGTGGCAGATGAAAGAGAAGGGGCACAACAAACAGCAACATACTGAGGCAAATATTCTTTCTCATCCGACACCCTCATTTCCATCTGGAAAATGAACCTTAGCTTCAGAACCACGCTCAGTACAATATTCTGCCTTGACAGGAACAGCAATTCCTACCAATTCACAGATTAAAATCCTATTTTACATCTCAAAAAAGAGAAAAGCAGAAATCCTTTCTCTTCCTCTTCCCTCTCCCTTGCTTAGAATAGGAAGGTATTTTATGCCCATGTTTAGACTCTGGCTAATATTGTCTGGAAATCTATGGAGACCTTATTCAAGAGAGACTTACTCATGGCGAGATTGATAATTACAGCTGTGATGATAACTAGGTCTCTCTACATCAAAAGCAACAAAATGAAAAAAACACCAGCATATGCTTGCGTTATTTCATCAAAATGGTTTCTGTATGTTTGTGGGACGACAAAAGAGTATGCAAAAATAACTACAAGGAGTAAGAAAAGAACTGTGGTCCAGTCTGCTATCAGTGCTGAAAAGCTTCATCTGAAGAGTGGAAATGATAAGTCTGACCTCCAAAAATTCCACCCTGAACATCTGTTCATTAATTTACTGACAATTATACTAAGACTGAAAAATTGTGAAAGAGATTGAGTTATGACAGATGATTTGTGTATGTTGCAAGGAAAATTAAGTATAAAAAGGGAGAATCCCCTGGATGCCAAGATCCAGGTTTGGGGCAAGTACTCTTTGGTGAGAGAACCCCAGCAGATATTTCAAATCACAAAATATTCAGCAAAGTAAGGCGTGGAAATATAGGTTGTTAGATCTTAAAAATATACTCCCATGAGTTCCAAAACTTTCCTCTCCTCTTACCATTGAAAAGGACCACACATCTGGTCAGTGAAAACTGGCTTACTTACAAACACTTCAAAGGTCAGGTTCATGTGTTTCTCCATACATCAGTCAGAAAACAGAGGCAGTAGCACTTGGCTTATTTACAGTGGTGAAAGCTCCCAATTATTGGTATAGGAGTCCAAGAGAGCCATGGTTTCTGAGCTTGTAGCAACCACATAAGACCTTAAATGTTGCGCCTCTTCAGTAGACTGATAGAGAGCAATAGGCCATATATTTCTGGGTAAAGCCTGCTGGCGGGGCCTATGATTCTAAAGGTTGGTAATTAGGGTGAGGTAAGCTAGTTTTTGCTGTTTTGGGGCCCAGCTCAAATTCTAAGAGTGTCTTGGTATCTTCCTTAAATGTAATTTTAAGGTAAAATGGTTCTGTTTGGTCCTGCAGTCTCTCAATAACGTATTTGCTTCTATTTTCTGCTTTCACTTCTTATTGTAGGATTTCATCTGAATGTGGTATGTAGGGCTGCTGTCAGGGCTGGTTTTCCCAAAGGGCCCAGCTCATCTTCCCAGACAACATAACCCTGAACTTACCTAACCCTGAAAGGTATAACCCATCTCTTTTACTTGTTTGCCCATGGAGGACCATAGGCTGGGCCCCCATGGCCAAACTAGAACTCGAAACCCCCACTCCTTCCTGATATGCTGGCATCTCTCTCGTCTCCTTTCCATTTCCTGCAGCATTGGGAAATTAAGCCTGAGAAGGTGTTCAGAAACAACACATTCTTTGGAAGTCCTGTGTGAGTGTCTGGAGGCGGTTGGAGGATGGATTGCAGCTAACAGATTGAGGTTGAATCCTGACAAGACAGAAGTACTGTCTCTGGGGGACAGGAGGGTGTGGGGTGTGGAAGACTCCCTCCCTGGTCCAGAATGAGGTAACTTTGCCCCTGAAGGACCAGGTGCGCAGCATGGGAGTCATTTTAGACTCACAGCTATGCATGGAGGCGCAGGTCAATTCTGTGTCCTGGGCAGCTGTCAACCAGCTCCATCTGGTTCGCAGGCTGAGACCCTACCTGTCCTTGGACTGTCTTGCCAGAGTGGTGCATGCTCTGGTTATCTCCTGCTTGGACTACTGCAATGGGCTCTGTGCAGGGCTACCTTTGAAAGTGACCTGGAAACTACAACTAATCCAGAATTTGGCAGTTAGATGGTGACTGGGAGAGGCCGCCGAGACCACATAACACCCGTCCTGAAAGACCTACATTGGCTCCCAGTACGTTTCTGGGCACAATTCAAAGTGTTGGTGCTGACCTTTAACGCCTTAAACAGCCTAGGCCCAGTATACCTGAAGGAGCATCTCCACTCCCATCGTTCAGCCCGGACACTGAGGTCCAGCACCGAGGGCCTTCTGGCGGTTCTCTCACTGCGAGAAGTGATGTTACAGGGAACCAGGCAGAGGGTCTTCTTGGTAGTGGCGCCTGCCCTGTAGAACGCCCTCTCGTCAGATGTCAAAGAAACAACGATCAGACTTTTAGAAGACATCTGAAGGCAGCCCTGTTTAGAGAAGTTTTTAATATTTGATGAAACATTGTATTTTTATATTGTGCTGGAAGCTGCCCAAAGTGGCTGGGGAAACCCAGCCAGATGAGTGGGGTATAAATAATATATTATTATTATTATTATTATTATTATTATTATTATTATTATTAGCACAAGCAGCAATTTGTGCTCCTAATAGAAAAACACCTCAGATATGGAAACATATAGACTGCCCAAACAAATGTGAGTATGTGAAACAAAGAACTATTTGGAGGGGTGGTATATAGATTTAAGAAAGAAAAAAACGATGAGCAAATAAAAAAAGGAATGGTTAATTAACGTATTTGAGACTGACCCCAAGATGGCGCCGAGGTAAGACGCTCTTATCGGAGCTCAAAGAATTTTTTAACTAAATGCCTTTGTTGCCGGCTCTCCTCCTTCTTTTGGATTTTATTTCCTTTCGCTACTTCGCTGGGCTTTTGAACATCTTATCTTATCCTCCTCGGTGCCGGGACTTAGTGAAGTTAATGAAGTTTTAACGAAGGCTCTCAGACATTCCCTCCCGGGCATTAAGGCACTCCCTCCCAGTTTCTCGTTGACTCCTCGTGACAAACTTATCCCAAGGATCTTTAAGGACCTCTAATGGGCTTTTAACCCTAAAAACTATAAATTTATAAAACCACAAATTTCTCCCACCACCTCTAACTTCGTGGACCCCCAAACATCTCAGTTGTTTTAACAAACTGAGAAGAAGGGGGGGGGATACTTCAAAGGAGTGCTCTAATTGGACCCAGTTTTAAACTCCTCGCAGCAGCCCAGCCAGGACTGAACGAGAATTGAATGAGATTGCGACCTGAGAACTTTAACACTCTATCACTCCGCTTAGAAGTCTGATCTCATTGATTTAAGAAGAATCTAGCAATGAGAAGAGCCAAAAGACTCAGGTGTCCTGATACAGAAACTGACGCAGAGCCCTCCGGTTTCAAACAGAGTAATCTAGATAATTACCTGCTACCTCAAAAACAGCACATATCTCCTCCCAAAACCTTCCTCAACTCTTTACATGGAAAGACAGTTGAAGAGATATCCCTAGGAATAAATGAGGACAAGGCTACTACTCCCATAATCGAGGCACAAGTGCTAATTGATAGAAAGGTGGAGCTGCTGGAGGAATGCTGCCTAATGACTGCTCAAACAGTTCAAAAAATCTTTGAACAATTACAAAACATCTCCAAGAAGCTGGATAACCCAGATGAAAGGAGGCAACTCACTCCCTTTTTGCCATCCTTAATAAGCCCTGGAGATAAACAGAACAAATACAAATTTATACCTCTAAACCAGCCAAAAACCAGAGGAAGCCCCCCTCACTCAGTCAACCTGATACTGAGGCCATGTGAGATTGTTCTCCACATTTTTTCCATATAGAGGGCCCCTACCTTACTGGGAGTCATCCTTCTGGGCCAGACACCATCTAAATCTGCTCCTAGGCCTTGAGGGTGGAAGCATCGACCTAAAAGCAGTCAAGAGGCTCACTAACGATGGATATTCCAAAAAAGTACTACTAAAATTTGGTAGTCATAGAATTCCAACCAAAATCCTAAGGGTAAAGGCTTATTTAGCCCAGAAAGGAATTATTCCGCGTCGACACTTTGAAGATATATCACTCAGACCATTGATTGCATCTAAAAGACAGAACAAGATGAATAAGGCCATTCTACCAGAAGCCGACATCTGCCCTACTCCCGTGGAAGAACCCAGTAGATGGGAGAAACCGCAGCCAGCTACCCGGGAAATCACACAAGAAAAATCCAAGCTCTCAAACCAAGCGACTGTAGCATCAAATAACAGCCTCGCCCTTGATACAATAGACTGGACAGTCCCAGAAGAAGTAGATCTGCTGAGTAACTTTACCAAGCTACCAGACAAAGAACAAATAAACATACTCAGTAAATTGACGAAACTACAGGCCAGATTGACCGAAATTCACCAACAAGGGCAACAAAATGCAGTAGAAACAATACACAATCAAACTTTACACTTACCAGCCCTCTCCCCTAAATGCATAGTCAAAAAGAGAGCCACCAATGGAACTTTCAAATGTATAGATGCAGACCTTCAAATCCAGCCTCCTTTAGAATATGAAATGGCAAGGAAAAACTCCAGCAATGAGACCACAAATTCCTGGCTGAGATATCAAATACTAGCTCTAAACGAAATAGGTACCCCTTATTTAAGTACTACAAAGGACTCTAACATTGCCGAACAAAAGATGACCTCCAACAGACCTGATTCACTGAGCCCAACATCAAATGAGGCCAAAGAAATGGAAGTAGAGACTGAAAACAGTCCTACTGTCCACAACAGTCTACCAACCACAGAAATTTCTCAGGAACAAGGAATAGTTAAGGAAGAAAACCAAGAAAGGGAGGAAATTTTAATTTCCCGCACTTTAAAAAAGAATCTAAAAGACCCACCATTATGTTCCCCGCCGAAAGCAGCGACAAATGGCTGTATCTGCACAAGACAAAATCCCTCGCTGGACTCAATAACAGAACTAGAATGACTAAATGCTGTCAACCAGCCATCAACTCAAAAACGGATCCTACGCTTGCTGTCCTGGAATATTGCAGGGTGGGGAAACAAAGACGGAGACCCAGACCTAATGAACTTCCTTAAAGATTTTGAATTAATACTTCTACAAGAAACATGGTCAACTAGAGATATTAAAATCAATGGATTCACCTCCTATACGAAACCCGCAGTGAAAACAAACACGAAGGGCCGGCCGAAAGCAGGGTTCTGTTGCATGATCAAAGACAACTTAGGGTTTGAAATCAAGCAGCTAGAAAAATGCTTACCACTTGCACAAGCTCTACTTTTAACCCAAAAAGACGATACTTTGCTACTTGTAAATGTCTATATCCCCCCAACCAAAAACAACAGCAGCAGTGAAAATTGGTCACAACTAACCTTTTATATAGAAAATTTGACCGATAAATACCCAAATGCCTCACTGATAATAGCAGGTGATTTTAATGCCAGAGTGGGAACCAACAATGAACAACTATGTAGCAAACTAAATTGGAATACTGATAATGATATCGCACATGCCCTGAAAATAGGACGATTCTCCAGAGATAGGGTTGTAAACAACGAAGGCTTACGCCTACTTGAATTATGTAACAACTTTAATTTGCAGATTGTGAACGGTTCAACAAAAGGCGATAGAAGCGGGGAGTTTACATACTTCTCCCCCCGAGGATGCAGTGTCATCGACTATATTCTTGTCCCTTATAATATTATAAATTCAATCATGGACCTCAAAATTGGAACGCGTACTGAAAGCGACCATCAGCCATTATTGTTGTCTATTAACTTAAAGGACGAAACCAAAATAACCAAGTACAATATCATAGAACCTTCTCAATACAAACAAATGACCCAATTAAAATGGTCCCAGGAAATGAGTGCAGCAGTGGGGCAAAAACTTACAGCCAACCTGAGAAAACAAGTATTATCCAACTTAAAGACCACTAATTCCTACAGTGATATTCCGAAAATTTATAATGAAATCTTCCAAATGTTCGTAGAGCTTAGTACTCCACCTAAAGTTTGGGTACTTAAACATAGCGCTAGCCCTTGGTTTGATGATGAATGTTTCCAGCTAAAAAGAAAGCTGCGCCAAACATTTAAAAATAATCGCGCTAAACTAGAGCCCTCTTATCTTGATGAAAAAAGACAATATCATTACATTCTGGCCGAAAAGAAACAGAAATATGCAACCCAAAAATGGCTACAATTATTCGACTCAATTCAGAGTAAAAACAACAAAGCGTTCTGGAACCTAGTGTACGGAGGATTGAAAGCCGAAAACCAACTAACTCTACCACCAATTGCAGAATCCAAATGGTCCCAATACTTCACATCTGTATTTAACAATCTACACAGTGAACTCAAAGGAAATGAGACCACTAAAAATAAAATCAGTAAACTCCAGGAGTGGCCAAGGGTAGAAGAAGAGGAAATTAGAGAGATAGTTAAAAATTTCAAATCGGGGAAATCTCCTGGGCCAGACGGTCTACCAATAGAATTATTCAAGACCTATATAGATTGGTGGGCAGAACCCTTAGCTCAATTGTTTACTCTCATAGATAAATATGGGATCATACCTGAGATATGGTTAAGATCAATAATTATCCCAATCTTTAAAAATGGCGACCCAAAAGAACCAAGGAATTACAGACCGATAAGCCTATTATCAGTGATAGGGAAAATCTACGCTAAGCACCTTTTATCTAAACTCCTTACCTGGATGAAAAATCTAAATTTACCAGGGAAAGAACAAATAGGTTTCTCCAAAGGTTGCTCTACATTAGACCACTGCCTTATACTTATGCATTTGGTTGAAAAATATAGATCCCAAAGGCAATCTAAGATATATGCTGCTTTTGTAGACTTTCGTGGTGCATTCGACTCAATTGACCGCCCAAAGCTGTGGAGGAAACTCGCAGAATTAAAAATTGATCAGCGCTTATTGATTCTAATACAAAATCTATACTCTTCCAATACCTGTCAAGTCAAACTTAACACCAAAGGTCACCTTTCATCAGACATCCCAAACTCGAAAGGGGTAAAACAAGGGTGTATTCTCGCTCCCTTTCTATTTAATTTATTTTTATCAGACTTGCCAGATCACCTCCAAAAAATAGAATCACATGCCCCTAAACTTAATCAGAAACCAGTTCCTCTCTTATTATACGCAGATGATGCTGTCCTACTATCATTAACGAGCTTGGGTCTGAAACGTCTTATATCTTCTCTGATCCTTTACTGCGAATGTAACAAACTCTCTATAAATTATGAGAAGACAAAAATTTTGGTCTTCTCGAATGGTTGGAAATTAGAGAAATGGAAAATAAGAGGGCAAGAAATCCAACAAGTGAAAATCTATAGGTATCTGGGAATCTTATTCCAGAGCAATTTAGGGTGGGCAAATCATCGCACAAATGCCATAAAACAGGCAAAGTGTACCTCATCAGCAGTTGCCCGTTTTTATTATCAGAAAGGTAATCAATTTATTCCTGCGGCCAATCAGATATTTCAAACAAAAGTGCAATCCCAGATATTCTATGGAATCCCGCTATGGGTCCAAGCATATAACAGTGATTTAAAAAAGATTCACTCCAGCTTTCTGAGACGTATTCTTGGACTCCCAGCTGTGATCAAATATGAAACAATGTGTGCAGAAATAGGCATACACACAATGGAATATTGGGCATGGTCCACCTCAATAAAGTACTGGTTACGCTGCCATTTTCGCTGCCCTCCATCAAGTCTGCTCGCTGATTTGCTCAAAGACTCCTATAAATCAAGATGGTATCAGTACCTCGAAAAAAAGATTGAATCTTTAGGCATCGAGCTGGAGCCCCTGTACAATTCTAATGAGCAATACATTTTCCATAATATCCTAACTAGACTAAAGGATGTCGAGAGACAAAATATTATGGCAGCTGTAAACAAAATTTGCTCCCCCATATTCTATGATTTAAATATCTTAGATAGCAGAGCCAATTACGTCACTAAATTAATAATCCCAGCCCAACGTAGGGCTTTTATGCTGGCCCGTTTGAATGTTTTTCCCTCAGCATTTGTCAGGGGAAGATATCAAAACATTCCTAGAAACAAGAGATTCTGCAGATGTTCTATGAATGTCCCGGACACTGTAGAGCATATTCTCTTTCATTGCCCATTGTACAGTATCCCACGTCAACGCGTGCTGTCCCCTCTTTTGGGTGGTCTGGAACCCCAGCAAGGTGAATGTGTGGGATTCTGCCTATCCGACGTCGACCAAAGGGTAACGGCGGGGGTAGCCGAGTTTTTGGTAGCAGTCCTCCAAGGAGCAGGTTAACAAGGAAAACCACTGATTTTATATGTATATATATATATATGTATGTAGCCAACTGCTGCCTTTTATATATATTTCAAGGCTTTTATATGTTATTTCCTCTTTTATGGTTTTATTTGCACAATGCCTAATAAAGGTTTGATAAGTAACGTATTTGAGATATCAAGAGGTAAGAGAGAATTAAGTTTACAATTGCCCAGATGTATTCAGCGTTCATAGTGGGTCATGGAATAAAATGGTCTTTTTATTTACCAAATTTCTTATTCCACCATTTTTCAAAGAATGTGTGATAATATTGCATTTTCTAATTAAAAGGATTTTTATTGCACACATGTTCAAAATGGTTTTTCTTCAAAATATTCATTCAGAACTAACCAGTCCCATCTTCTGAACCAAAGCCCATCAGCAATACCACCCTTGTTATAAGTTAGAACAATGAGGCTGGAGGAACATCACCCAGCTATTGCATTATTGTTTTATTTGTTTTGATATGCTGTATACCACTTTGAGACTTTTATTAAAAATATAAAGTGGTATAGAAATTGAAAAGCAAAGAAATAAAACAAAAACCAGAAATTGTGTAGCAAATATTGCCTGTAACTACTGAAATCAATGCTACCGATTAATCCTGACTGTAGCAGTTCCACTGAAACCTTACTGGAGAATCACATAGGAATTGTAACAGATAAAATATAACATGGTTATACGATGTAGAAAAAGAGAGATTAATTTGCCCATATTCTGATAGAACAAAAAACAGAGATGTTAGGTTAATTTGTTATTTCTTCTTTATTAACATCTCCTTGCAGTTCAAATCAGGCCTTAGCACAATGATGTAGCATTTGGGAGCAAAGATGGAGCCCAGTATCCCAGCACTGGAGGCCAAAATGGAGAAGATCTCCACAGCCACCATGTATTTCCCCTTGGTGCTCAGGTACACTGGAACAAAGGAGATCCAAACACTACAAAAGAGCAACATGCTGAAGGTGATGAATTTGGCCTCATTAAAGCTGTCAGGCAGTTTTCTGGCAAAAAAGGCCACAACAAAGCTGAGAATGGCCAAAAAGCCCATGTAGCCCAGGACACAGTAAAACAGGGCAACTGATCCTTCGTTACAGCCTAGAATGATTTCCCTCATCGCAGAGTGCATGTCAGAATCAGGAAATGGGGGAGAGGTTCCTAACCACACAGCACAAATGCCCACTTGAATAAGAGAACAAGAAATCACAATGGAGCTTGCCAGTCTTTTCCCCACCCACTTCCTCATTCTGGATCCTGGTTTGGTGGCCACAAAGGCCAGAACCACCGTGATAGTCTTGGCCAGAACACAAGAAACGGTCACTGTGAAAACAAGGCCAAAAGCCATTTGTCGGAGCAGGCAGCTCACTCTTTCCGGAGGGCTGAGGAAGATCAATGGGCAGAGGAAGCAGAGCAGGAGGAAAGTGAGGAGAGTGTAGGTGAGGTCCCGATTGTTTGCTCTGACAATGGGTGTGTCCCGATGTTTAATGAAGATGGCTAGGACCACCACTGTGAGGAGAGAGAGAGAAAGAGCCAACAATGCTAAGCTCATCCCCAGAGGCTCTTTAACGGACAGGAAGCTGATGGTCTTTGGAATGCATTGCGATTGGTTCCTGTGTGGATAGTGGTCTTCGGGGCATGCAACACAGTCATCCATATCTGGAGAGAAAATAATATATTCAGATTTGAGATGTTCTGGATAGCAACTACAAATGCTACTGGTGTGGAACTCTTAAGGTTAAAAATAGAAAAATCACAGATGTTTCGTTTATACATTTGAAATGTACCATGTATATATTGTGTCCCCTACCTTTCTGGGATGAAATCTTGCCTTGAGGACATGGAGCACAATCATAGCAGCAGAATGGCTCCCCCTCCTTCTTTTCCTTCCTGGAACCAGGAGGGCAACTTGGGTTACATAACGAAAGGGGTGAAACCTGCCCATTTAAATAAACACATAAACATTTTAGCACACAGAAATTAGTAGTATTTCCCCCGACCCCCAAGTAGAAATAGGAAGACACTAAAATACTTATTCCAAACTCAGAGCCAAACTACTCATTTTTCTATTCATGCTTTAAAAAGAGTGTACTCAACCTGACCATCTGGCGAACAAATACCGTATTTTTCGCACTATAGGACGCACTTTTTCCCCTCCAAAAATGAAGGGGAAATGTGTGTGCGTCCTATGGTGCGAATGCAGGCTTTTGCTGAAGCCTGGAGAGCGAGAGGGGTCCGTGCGCACCGACCCCTCTCGCTCTCCCAGGCTTCAGGAAGCTATCCCAAGTCTTGCAAGCCCGGCGGGATGTCCCGCGGGCTCGCAAGGCTTGCGGGCAGCAGCCTGCACCCCAAAAGCTGGGGACAGCGGGGAGGCGCAGAGCCGCCACCCCGCTATTCCCCGACATGATCTGGAGGCTGGCGGGGGGAGAAGCAAGCCTGCTTCTCCCCCCCACCATCCCCACAAGCTCCAGATCAGGTCGGGGAATAGCGGGATGGCGGCGCTCCGCCATCCCGCTATTCCCCGACCTGATCTGGAGGCTGGGGGTGGGAGAAGCAAGCCTGCTTCTCCCCCCCCAGCCCCACAACCTCCAGATAGGTCGTGGAATAGCGGGATGGCGGGGCTCCGCCATCCCGCTATTCCCCGACCTGAACTGGAGGCTGGGGGTGGGAGAAGCAAGCCTGCTTCTCTCCCCCCCAGCCCCACAACCTCCAGATCAGGTCGGGAAATAGCGGGATGGCGGCGCTCCGCCATCCCGCTATTCCCCGACCTGATCTGGAGGCTGGGGGTGGGAGAAGCAAGCCTGCTTCTCCCCCCCCCAGCCCCACAACCTCCAGATCAGGTCGGGAAATAGCGGGATGGCGGCGCTCCGCCATCCCGCTATTCCCCGACCTGATCTGGAGGCTGGGGGTGGGAGAAGCAAGCCTGCTTCTCCCCCCCCCCTCAGCCCCACAACCTCCAGATCAGGTCGTGGAATAGCGGGATGGCGGCGCTCCGCCATCCCGCTATTCCCCGACCTGAACTGGAGCCTGGGGGCGGGAGAAGCAAGCCTGCTTCTCCCCCCCCCCAGCCCCACAACCTCCAGATCAGGTCGTGGAATAGCGGGATGGCGGCGCTCCGCCATCCCGCTATTCCCCGACCTGATCTGGAGGCTGGGGGTGGGAGAAGCAAGCCTGCTTCTCCCCCCCACCAGCCCCACAACCTCCAGGCTTCAGGAGAGCCCCACCGCCAGCCCCACAAGCTCGGGGGACAGCGGGAGAGGCGCAGCGCGCCCTTCCCGCTGTCCCCCGACTTGTCTAGAAGGCTGGCGGGGGGAGAAGCCTGCTCCTCCCCGTCGCCAGCCCCGCAAACTCGGGGGACAGCGGGAGAGGCGCAGCGCGCCTTTGCCGCTGTCCCCCGACTTGTCTAGAAGGCTGGCGGGGGGAGAAGCCTGCTCCTCCCCGTCGCCAGCCCCGCAAACTCGGGGGACAGCGGGAGAGGCGCAGCGCGCCTTTCCCGCTGACCCCCGACTTGGCTAGAAGGCTGGCGGGGGGAGAAGCCTGCTCCTCCCCGTTGCCAGCCCCGCAAACTCGGGGGACAGCGGGAGAGGCGCAGCGCGCCTTTCCCGCTGTCCCCCGACTTGTCTAGAAGGCTGGCGGGGGGAGAAGCCTGCTCCTCCCCGTCGCCAGCCCCGCAAACTCGGGGGACAGCGGGAGAGGCGCAGCGCGCCCTTCCCGCTGTCCCCCGACTTGGTTAGAAGGCTGGCCCAGCCCCGCAAACTCGGGGGACAGCGGGAGAGGCGCAGCGCGCCATCCCGCTGTCTCCCGACATGGTTTGGAGGCTGGCGGAAGGCTTCCTCCTCCCCCAGCCCCGCAAGCTCCCAGAGCGATGCCAAAGCTGCGCGCAGCTTCGGCATGGCTCTGGGTCCCGTTCTGGGGGAGGGGGAAGCTCGGGCTTCCCCGCCCCAGCCCCGCGCCTGGCGGGGGGGGGAATAATTTTTTTTTGCCTTTATTTCCCCCCCCCCCCAAATCTAGGTGCGTCCTATGGACCGGTGCGTCCAATAGTCCGAAAAATACGGTATCTCAAATGGAGTGTGATCTGTTGGAATGTAATGTTAAATATATTCTCTTTTCCTATCTCTCAATGTTAAAGATATTCTCTTTTCCTCTCTTTCATGGATGTAGGAATTATGCCTCACCTGGTGAAAGCTCTGGTGCCACACCATTCTGTTGTCATCAATGGAAATCAGCTGGCCTGGGACAGCCTCCCCACCCAGTCTTCCGACCTTGACTCTCATGAAGGAGTTATTTGGAAATGTGACTATGTTGGCAATATCAAAGCCAGCTTCTACTTCCCTGCTCTCACTGAAAGATACCGTTTCTCCAGCAGAATTGTTAAAGGAGACACTCCTAAGGAAGGGATGGAGCTGCATTGGAAGAAAAATAGGAACTATGAAGTAATGCACATGTCTCTCCTTACTGACACTCAGGATGTCTCCAACGTTCAGTACTGGCAGGGACTGCTATGCAAGCAGAATCCACTCCTTGGAAATGGTACGTAAGGCAAACATTCACAGAAAGAGCCAATGATTTCCTTTCCCTCCTATAGGGAAAATCCTAATGCATTCCTGACCAAGAAGAAACAAGGAAAAAAATCCATGGATTTCAGTTCCCACCCCTTGGATATCTCCCACCCCATGGAAGAGAATTGTAGGGTAACCGCCTCATATAACCATCATGCATCTAATCAACGCATGAAGAGGGTTAATGCCATGGAGCAAGCTGTCCTATCAGGCTTCATCTATGTCACTTCCCTTCACTTTGGGAGGGAATGGGCAACAAAGCCTTTTGGTTTGGGGAAAACTCAGCCTACATGTGAATTCTCTGAGCTGCTCTCACCTTCTCCTCTCATTGTAGGCTTGGATCCTCCCCTCAATTTGTGTGCAGAGAAACTGCTTGTAAAGGAGCAGGACAGAGCAAGATCAGATCCTGCTTCACTTACAGTTTCTCTACAAGCATAGATACCTACTAACAAAGAAGCAGCACAGGGGGGCCACCAGGGGCGCATTGGAAGATGGCCGACAATAACATCTCTCCGACCCACACGAGGTAATTAAGAGGCTGTTATGGGAGTATGCAGTCTCCCTTGCCCCCCAAGGGAATGGGGGGGTACTGCCTTGCCTGCTGTGTCCATAATTAACCCCCGGATTCGAAAGAAGGGGGTGAGGGCACTAGGCACAAAGCCCTCAGGTGGAGTCGGCTCTCCTGGACGCTGTCTCTGAATCGCGCACTGGTTTCATCAGCTCGAAATATTTAATTGGAATAGAAGCAAATGCACATACTAATGTGATTTGGAATTAATGTGATTTGATTGGCCTGTTAATAAAAATTAATTAAAACAACAACAACAAAGAAGCAGCACAGTGCAGGATTCGCAGCAACTGCTTAACAGCTTGGGGAGCAGCTTATCTGCATACGTTAAGCGGAGGATCCTAGTTTACAGTCAGTACTTGAAAATTTTCAGTGTAGTCTTATACATTTCGATACGATACGATAATCTTTATTGTCATTGTCCCATACAGAACAACGAAATTGAAAATCTACATCAGACATTCAGAAACCAACAAGCGTGCTATCCCAGCTATCCCAGCCTGGTTAACCCCCTAAAAACTCTGATACCCCATAATTAAATACAATATACTCCCATAACTACCTTACACTGTGTTTAAAAAAATCACAATTGAATAAAAACTGTTTCTCAGGCAGGCTAGTCCTAGTCTTTATAACCCTGTACCTTCTTCCGGAAGGCAAAAGCTGAAAGAGATCACTTCACTGCCCATGTCAAATAACTTGTATGTTATAATAGGCATTACCTGCCAAGGCTGCAGTTTCTGAAGCTTCTGCATCCCTCCTTCCACCGCTGCCCTGTGTTTGGTCCTGGACAAGAACATGGCATGTAGAGCATGTGCTGTGGCATAAACAGCATTATAGATGCTATAGCTGTGGCTTGTTATGCTCATCTCAAAGCCAGACGAAGGGAGATTTTCCAGCTTCTCCTCACCAGTGCAGGTTCCACTGGCCTGCTCCTCTGTATTGGAGTTTGGAAATAAACAGAGAAATACCTGTGCCCAGAACTGCTTGACAAAGCCATTTCCATTTTCCTCAAAAGGATTTTGTACCTGAAGAAAGGCTTTGAATCCTTGTACCACATTTGAATAAACTGCAAAGGAGAGGGAACCGTGGAAGACATGCATGTCCCAACTCATTTGGTAGGTCAATGTTGTGAAATCCACCTGTGCTGTCAGAATCCACACCTTGCCCACAGATGTTTTGTTAATATTTTCCATTTCACCTAGCACTAGCATTGTTCGCAAGCGAATCATGGGCGTTGTTCCTCCATAGAAAACAACAACCTTGGCTTCACTTTCCATAATAACATGATAGATTCCGATAATAACATGGGAATACATGACATAAAGCTCTGCCAAATATGTGGTTTTCAGGGTTGTCTCTGAGAAGGCCAAGCAAATGCCTTTCTGGGAGAGCAGAGGTTTCAGGGTGTGAATAAATCTCTCTCCACTGTCATTATCCACAGCGAGCAGCCCAACCCATGTCCAACCAAAGTGCAGAAGTAACTCAACAATCCCAGTGTACTGATGGGCTTCATTGGGCACCATCCTATAGAAGGAAGTGGATTGGCTTTGACCAGGATCTTCTGGAGCAAAGGAACCATAAGTGAGCTAAAAGGAATAAAGATGCATAATTCATAAATGTTGAAGAAGGGCTGTATGTGTATTCAGGGCCTGCCTGCCATGGAGACAAGATGACCCAGTTGCCTCAGGAAAGAGACTCCAGAAAGTTGGGGGAGTGGCTGATTTGTCCTCCATGGAGTGCTGCCCTGCTTTGCTCTCCTTTCTCCTCATCATCTGTCTCCAGGTCATTCTCCTTGCTTTCCTGCCCTGCTGCTGCCCCTCTCCCTAATTTTCCTTCTCCTTTTCATCCCCTTTGTTTCATCACAACATTTCACCTCCTCATTTTATGACGTCCCACCTTCCCTTCCTTCCCAAACTTCTATTGTACTACAGACGCACAGAATCACACACAAATGCCAGAATGTGTGCACAGCTGCCTCCTGACAGGCAGGCTTCCAGATTTGCAAAAGAGCACCTTAAGTCTCCAGCCAGTAAGCCATAGGCAAAGTTGGAAGAAATGTCAATTTGCAGAATGGAATGTGGAGGTTTTTTTCCTTTTCTTTTTTGAGGAGTTGGAATAAGGAAGCGAGGTGAGATGAGCTTTCTCGCACAAACACAGTACCTTCTCAGTCAGGAGGGTGGAAAACAGGACTGGGGTGGGGGTGGTGTTTCCTGAGCCCCAACCGTGGATAAGTTACAGCCTTATATAACTAGGATGTTTAGCTCTAGTTAATGCATGAGGGTGTAAAGACCATAGAGTAGTAAGCCACTGTTGCCAATCTTGTGTAGGTCATGCCTCCTTCACCTCCGGTGAAAGAGGGGACCTTTCTGCCAACACATGAGCCAAAGTGCAATGTTTGTTGGCCAATCCAGACCATTCTCTGCATGCCTCAGTAGAAGCTCTGTACAGGACCATTTCCAAACATAAAGAGAAAGTCACCTATTGAAGATCCTATTACTGACTTTTTTAAGCTCTAATTTTTCTGAACCTCATATATTTAGAGGGCCACCTTCTCCCACACCACAAACACTTCTTGGTTTATTGGGTGAGGCCAGGTCACACCTAATACATTCTGCTGCCTGAGATAGAAACCAACTGGTCCTGCAATTGAATCCTCCTTCAATATACCAATAGGACCACATCATCCACTCCACTTGGGACACCAGACTAGTTAGAGGAGTCAGGGGAGGCAGTGCTCAGACCTAGAGCAGAGAGAAAAGGCAAGTGTACTTAAGAAGGAGAAATAGGACTGCCCACCTAGAGCAGACATCTTTAACTGCAAAGCCCATAGGAAACACATTTTCTGAAGAGCAGGACCACCCTCCTTTTTTAGTCACAATTCTACAAAACATTTTTGGATAGAAAAGATCATGGTGATTGAGTGTGAAGAGCCCAAGGCAGTATCTTACCTGGGGAATCTTGTAGATGCTCAATATGTCTGCCATGTAGAGGGAGGTATCCAAGTCCAGTCCCCCAATAACTGCCACTAGGTGTTTCTGGGTGTTCGCACTTGTAGTTGGGTATAAATGTGGAGGGAAGGTTCAAAGCAGCCCGATAGGTCATCCTTTCATTGAAGTAACTGTCATAGATGTGGAATCCTAAGGTGATATTTGGTAAGATCTTGGGGTTCTCATTGATCTCCTTGACAGCAAATATCAAAGCCAGAATATGCTGGTAGTTCTTTGGCACAACACTGCAACGAGAATTTCATGCTATATTTTTAAAATATAGGCTATACAATTTAAAAGAGGGGGGGGAGGCTTGACAATTCTTCAGCATTTTAGTTGAAATTGTGTCCTAGTATATATGCAAAGGTGTTTCCCCTGAAGGAATACATTGTATTCCACTTTTATATTTGTAGCTCACTTTTATTAATACAGTGGTACCTCAGGTTACAGACGCTTAACTGCCATTTCTTGGCTGATCAGAACCTTCAGCCAGTTAGTCTGTTGTTCCCCAGGCCAGTTGGAATGAATGGACCTGGTCCAGCCCCTGTCTATAAATGAAATTCCCTCTCTTCCCCTATCACCAGTCCTCTGTCATCGAACAAGCCTGCACCATAGTGACAGCAGAAGGCTATAGACATTGACAGTCACAAAGAGACATCAACAGAAGCCATAAAATATTTTGAAACCACAAAGCTGATTAATAATAATAATATATCTCACAAGATAAAAATAGAGTGTACGGGCTGCCCTTTGGGCTTAGATATACACAAATTGTTTATTTACAGGTATTGATCTGATCCCAGAACAAAAGGTTTATTGAAATGCAGAGAAGCAGGTAGCCAGGCTTAATGGAGTTATTCTCATCATATTCAAACCTGTGACACATTTTAAACTGGGAGGGTCATATAAGACTAGCCTGACTTGGATGAGAATTTCACCTCAAAGGAGAGGTGAGCTTTTAAGACCCTTCACCCCAAACTTTCAGAGATGAAGTTCAATATTCAGAACAGAGAAGGGCTTTCCGTCTTAAACTAGGTAAGTTTAAGTTGTGGCTCCTCTTGTGAAACTCTTCTTGGAAGAAATTTGGTGGGATGTGGGGAGGAGAGAACTCATGAATGAAAGAAAGACTTTGTCATCTCACTGACTACACATTCAGATCTCCATT